GATAGGTGTGGGGAGTTTCTTAGAAAAATTTCAGGTACTGTAGGAGATTTTTACTTAACACAGTGAAAGCAATTTGTTTTTTTAACTTCATTACTCATTAAACATTATTCATAACATTCATTTTAATCCTAGTTTTCTTTCTTTATAGTCTAATAATTAAAGATCTAAAGGTATTAACATTTATAATCAGGGTTATGTATGAGCCAATTCAGAATTTTGAACTGTTCTTGCCTAAGTATTATTTGGCCTTCATTTTATAATAAAGTTTGTTCTTTAAATAGGTAATAACAGAAAATTATTACAGATTTGGGAGCCATTAGGAGGTAACAGGTGGCAGAATATGAAGCTACAGGGTGCCCATTATTGACATTCCACTAGTTACATCTTGTGCATGGTAAGTAATAATGAGGAAATAGGCAAGTACATATAGGAATGCTTTGTTAATACTGAGGTTTATGTAAGACTGGGTGAAAGTTTTGATCGTCATTAAAAATATGCCTTGCATTTGCTTAACTACTTACACTGTTCAGTTTTATCTCTCTAATATGATTACTGCATCTTAAATATTCTTTTTCTTTTTCCCACAGTATCTAATTTAATCCTGGGCACACCTTAGTAGTTTGAAAAATTAACACTTAGTTGATCACAGATCTATTGACACCATTCATTAGAGCAGTGGTCCCCAACCTTTTTGGCACCAGGGACGAGTTTCATGGAAGATAGTTTTTCCACAGACAGGAGTCGGGTAGTGGGGGTGATGGTTTCAGGATGAAACTCTTCCACCTCAGATCATCATCATTAGATTCTCATTAGGAGCATGCAGCCTAGATCCCTTGCATGAGCAGTTCACAATAGGGTTTGTGCTTCTATGAGAATCTGATCCTGCCACTGATCTGGCAGGAGGTCAAGCTCTGGCATCTGGCTCAGGAGCAGGTACTGGTCCGAGGCCCAGGGGACCCCTGCATTAGAGGAACACAATTTAAAATCAAAATGACTGATAAAATTATCCAGTCCATGACACCTGTTCACAGGTTTATGGTTATCAGAGGATAACTTTTGTGTGTGTGTGTCAGATGGAATCTCACTCTGTCACCCAGGCTGGAGGGCAGTGGCATGATCTCAGCTCATTGCAATTTCTGCCTCCCAGGTTCAAGTGATTCTCCTGCCCCAGCCTCCCAAGTAGCTGGGATTATGCGAGTATGTCACCAGGCCTTTCTTTTGTGTGGTGTAGTTTTAAATAGAGACAGGGTTTTATCATGTTGGCCAGACTGGTCTCGAAATGCTGACCTCAGGTAATCCTCCTGCCTCAGTCTCCCAAAGTGCTGAGATTACAGGTGTGATCCACCTTGCCCTGCCGATAACATTTTAAGAACTCAATTTTACCTATAAAATTATTTGAAACGTTCTGATTGAGGATTATTTGTGGCATATGTTATTGCATTGTAGAATAATAGTTCCTTGAGTGTTTGACTATAACATAAGAACACCAACTGGAGTAAAATAAAATTAAAAGATTTTACTATCATATAAAGATAATTACATAGAAAACATAGTAATATAATTTAATAATTGTTTTGTACTTAATTTGATATTTTAGTTCTGTCACAATCACTTTAATTTTACTTTATTCATTCATTTACAATTTTCTAGGCACCTCCAATTTACTTGGTTCTAATCAAGGTACTGGCAATACAATGGTATAGACAGACAAGAGTCCTGTCCTCATAGATCTTATATTCTGGGAGAAACTAGCCCAGAAACAATAAGATGAACGAATGGGGTGGGGTCTAAGAAAAAGCAAAATTAGGTGTTCTGAGAAAGTCTTTTTTTTTTTTTTTGAGATGGAGTTTTGCTCTTGCCGCCCAGGCTGGAGCGCAAACAATCTCAGCTCACTGCAACCTCTACCTCCCAGGTTCAAGTGATTCTCCTGCTGGGAAGGCCTTTGTGAATAGCTAACATTTGATTGGTGACTGAACAACAAATAGGAACCATCTGAATATTTGGTGGAAAAACAGCAATAGTACAGACTATTCATTCAGGAATAATAGCAAGACAAAAATAACCAGAATATAGTGCATAAGGGACAAATTGTATGATGTAAAACTGAGTGATAGGCAGAAGTCAGTGGGAGAATGCCATGGTGAGGAGTTTGAACTTTATTGTAATTGCAGTGAGAAGCCCCTGGATAGTGTCAGGTTTACTTTCTGAAAAGATCACTTCAGCTGCTCTGTGGAGAATGTATAGGGAGTGCTGAGGAAAGCAATAATGAAAACAGAGAAACCAGGCTCTTTCAGCTATTAGGATTTAACTCATTACATCATGTGCATATACACTTATTGGCTTTATTCTGGTTTAATATTTTAACACAGTTGCCTTGCCATTTATTTTCAAAGTACGTAGGCTTAACATGTGCAAACCTATTAATAACTTGTATTGATCCAATATAGCTGGGTTAATTTTCCTTCAGCTTTTCTCCCTTTATCTGCTTCCTGTTTTTCGGCTTATACATACTTCAGATTTGTGAGTGAGTATTCTCTATTGTACTTCTGTTTCTTTTTGCTCAGGACAAATGTAGCTAGGAAAGGGAGAGCTGCACCAGATTTCTGGTATCTCCTTCTCAGTTTTATTGAAAGAACTGTAGTGGATTCACTCTATTTAGTCAAGAGTATATCCTTTTCCTCTGAGAGGTGCTCTTAGGCTTTGAAGGATTCTTAAAATACCTAATTTTAATCAGTGTTATTTCTCCCATGGCTGCCATCCTCCACTCAACTCAGATCTTTCTCACCTTTCTGTTGCAGCTTTCCCACTGTCCCCAGGCCCCAGTGGGCAAATGTGAAAAACCAGAAGGAGAGTTCACGTCTTTGAGGCCTTTGGGGTGCCTCTTTCACCTGGGCATTCCCTCCCTCAGATGATCTCATTCTTACTATTTTACTGGATCTTCTCTTCTAATGAATCCTAGTATGCCTGAAGACAATGTTCTGTGTTATTTTGGTTAGCTTTCCTCCCTGCCAGGAAAAACCAGAATGGCAAGCCCCGGTTCTTTTTATTCCTTCTGATTAAAAACAAACAAACCCAGAATTGGTAGGGAAGAACTTGTCTCTTGGGTGATTTTCTACATCTTTTTCCTGGGTTATTAATTGGTCCCTCCATTTCCAACTCGCCACACTGAGGGAATTAGGTTCAGTGTTCAGGCTTTTAATTAGTCCCGTTCCTTACTCTTCCCTTCACTGTACTGTTTCCATAAGGGAATAGAGAGCAGCCATGCCAATTCCCGGAATATGTTACCTCTCTCTTTCCCTGTGATTTTTCAGAAATTGTGGTTATAATTCCATGCACAGATAGATTCAATTATTATGTTAGGCATAGAGGGTGTCAATAGGCCTGGATAATCAAAAGGTTAGGGAAAAAAAGACGGCAGGAAAAGTGTTGGAGTAAAACTTCCATAAGCTTTAAGAAAAGTTGGCCAGGCGTGGTGGCTCATACCTGTAATCCCAGCACTTTGGGGTGCTGAGGCAGGTGAATCACGAGGTTAGGAGTTTGCGACCAGCCTGGCCAACATGGTGAAACCCTGTCTCTACTAAAAATACAAAAAATTAGCTGGGCATGGTGGCGGGCACTTGTAATCTCAGCTACTCAGGAGGCTGAGGCAGGAGAATTACTTGAACCTGAAAGGTGGAGGCTGCAGTGAGCCGAGATCGTGCCACTGCATTCCAGCCCAGGTGACAGTGCGAGACTCCATCTCAAAAAAAAAAAAAAAAAAAAAAGTCACAGAAAGTGATCACTGTAATATATGTTACAAGCTATGTTAAGTCTATGCAAAGAGGTAATCTATGTCAGTAGTTCACAACCCTGGTGATGCATCTTGCTAAGCCTATTCTACACATATGTAATGTCAGTGGTTAAGTACTATGTGGTGCCAGGCACTGTTCTAAGAACTTTACGCACACAGAGACACATGTCCATCTAATCATCTCTTGAACTCTAGGAAACAGAAATTAGTATTATCTTTATTTTCTAGACGAAATGAATCACAAAGAAATTAAATAACATGCCCAAGGTCATATAGCTGGCAAGTAATGAAATCAGAATTCAAATTCAGAAAATCTGGCTACTTTGCACAGGTTCCAAAACAATACACCTATTTTCTCTACAGACCCAATATCTATCTATATTGCTAATTTAAGCTAGAGCTGAGACCAAAATATGGAAATACAGGCCTCCCAAGTTCTAGATCAAACAGTGTCATTTTCATTAATTCTCACTTATTAAATGCCTATCTCACTTGATAATCCCATAATCCTAGGAGGTAGGTATCTTTATCTCAATTTTAAAGAAGTAGACTGAAAACATAAAGGAAATTGGTGGCAGAACCAGCAGGGGAATCTGTGTTTTTCAACCTCCATAGCCCCAGTATAATGACTGTATTCAACTGTTTTAATACAGAATGTTATTCCTTTATAACATGTATTTATTTTAACCTTTAAGTGATTTCTATTAAACTCCAAATACGCCCATTCTTATGTACTGCAGTAATTTTCTTATTCTGAATTATCTGTTAAAAGTTATTTTAAGAAAAATACTTCGATCTAATTTTACATAGAGAATGCTAAAGAATAATTCCTAGGGCAGAAATCCAGGGTCGGAATGATTTGTGTTTGAATTAGGACATATAGGACTTGTCTAGGCATGCTGTAATACTAGTTTTGTGAAACTCTGTGTCAGTAATAAATAGCTACTTTTATCTAAACCAATGTCATTTACCACACTAAAAAAAGACAGTTAAAATCTTAGCCAGGAAAACCAACACATACATTGGAATCCTTCCTACATTCTTTTATGTTCTAACACTTAGTTACTATCTCTAAACTTTTGCTTTGCTTATGAAAGCCAGTAAGTCATAACAAATCTTATACTCTGAAAAACGTATATTTAGAAGAGCCAATGCTTTAGGAAAAAGTATTACTTTATAAGGTAATATTTTTCTAGAAACATACACTTACTTCTGCTTTTTTACGAGCTTCCATAGCTTTCATAAGCATCATGTGTTGTCGCCTTCGCTCTCGTTCCTATGAGGCCAGATAAAATTTGGAAAATAACTCAACCACAATTAACAGTTTGATTTTCCAATAGAAAAACAAAAACAAAAACAAAACAAAAACTCAGTATAGCATGTTTAGCTTTTATAGACAAGTCACAGTAAATACTAAATATAAGACAAGAATGGCCAGTCTGTGCATGTTTTAGTTCAGGTTTAGAAAGCAAATACAAGAACAATCAAAAGCAAAAAGGTAAAGCAATGAACATGGAGACAGTGTAAACAGAAGCATACAAGATTTACTTATGGTCAGTTGTGATGCTCCTTCAAAAGCTGGCAGAACAAAAAGCATAATGGTTGGCTGGAACAGGTCAGTTACCTTACATCTGCTATTAGAAAAACCAAAATACTATGGCCAATTAAACTAAAGGTTGTGTTGCTCTTAAAATTTTAGGTCAGGAAGAAATTGATTCATAGTTTAACTTTATGATTTTAGAGTTGGTTACTTTATTTCAAGGACAAAATCATTTTGTAAATCCAGTAAGCCACCAACAAATTAGAGGATTTTTTTTTAAGGCTTTTAATATCAATTTAGTTAAATAGTCTTATTTCATACAGAACACCAATGAAATGGGATATTCCTGTTTACTGATGTCTGCCACCTGATGTACTATTTAAAGCCACAAAACCTGCACCATGGGCTAACAGGTGGAATCTTAAAGGCACAGTATGAAAATAAGATAAGCACTAGTTTTATTTGATAATCTCATTTTACTTTTAAAATTAAAAAAATTCACATATTTAAAATATTTAATCGTTTTTTTTTTTTTGTTTAAGCACATTTGGTTTCCCCAAAGGGAGATTTCTAAAGTTATTTCTAAAATTTGTCTATGAAACCAGAATATAATTCATATTCTCTCATCAAGCAAACTCAAAATTCCCACTGTATTCAATGGCAGTTTTGCATCTAGAATGATGGGAGAATATGGGTCATAATAATATCTAATTGTATAGTGATCCAACTTTCTCTGTGACATCAGTAATGTAAATTTTTAGAGAGCAGCCTTATTTAAGGCTGGTACAATTCAATGTAAAATATTGGAGATGCATCATACTTCTTTATAGACAGACAAGCAGATGTATGCAATGCACTGTGCTGTAAAGCCATGCAGCAGTATGTAATATGACAGCAGCCAGTGCTACACTTTATGCATTGCTATGACAACCATATCACAACCAAATCACAATGCGGTGTTAGATGTACAAAAATAAACATACCCATACCATATCTAGTCTATGCCTCTCCAACTCCTGGTAGAAAGAGTTGGCACAACATTATGAAACAGAAATCACAGTCATAAAACCAATTTTAACCCCCCAAAAAGACACCAATACCAAAGCAAGGCAATAAACTGTAAGATGAAAGAAAAACTTAAGCAGAAATTATATCAGAAATTTTAAAGAAAATATTTTGAAGATTTTTCCCCAAATAGGTTTAAGCAATATTATAAAATATACATTCAACAGATATATAACTATATGTATACAGACCTGATGTTTCAGAAGAACAGCTTGTTGTCTTCTCATTTCTTTTTCCTTAAAAATAAGAAACTTTTAATACATGATTTTTAGAGAAGATTTAGAACATGCTAAAAGTATTAAAAGTTCCTTTCTGAGATTCTATAGTCTTCCATTAGGGTGAATCATATGAAATGGCCAATATTCAATTTTTACTTATAAAATGTAAATTCAATTTCGTATGCCTCTACCTAACTAACACTTAATAGAAATTGTATAATATGGTAAACATGGTAGGAAGGATCTTTCTTCAGTAGTAATTTTAACTTAAAATTTAATGAATGACTGAACTAACAGCACACTTCAAAGGCACATTCATTTAACTAACTAGTTAGATGGTCAGAACCTATCAGATATAACCCACATATGTATTTTTTAATCAGTTTAATACATTATGGTGCAACCTTCAAATCTAGCTGCTTAGAACTCTCTCCATTCTGAATATAAGCTCCCAAATATACTCTATAATTAACATCATTTTTCATTTCTATACACTGCATATGAATGAAATTGACAAAAATTAGGCAATTAGTATGAAATTTTCCTGTCCACCTATGATTCAGAGCACCGTTCCAAGGGGATGGGGCTTAAGGCAAACCATCTAGGAATGCCACCAATCTCAGTATTTTTATAAAGGTAGAATACGGATGAAATTAACATTAAGGGTAGACATGAAAAGGTAGAAATTTAAAAAATAAACACAGAGAGTCTATGTAAGAGATAAACAGTTCCCTGGCTTTACAAGGTGTAACTGTGGTGGCTGTTTCCAGTACTAGTAGGCTCACCCAGCTACCCTCTTTCAGTATTAAGTTACTGGTGGATGGCAGAATGGGGTTGGGGAGGATGGGGACAACTCTCTTATACACCATGCCAGGAAATCAGAACAAAACACCCCAAACACTTGAAATTAAAATAATTAAAACAAGCTAATTTTACTATTGGTAAATAACAGTTGAGGAAGTTTGGCTTTTGTTTCTATAGGCTTTTCATTTTTAATAGATAAAACAGTTGCTAAATATTAACAAAGAAAAAGTTATAAAGTGGGGAATCAGATTGAGACACAAAAATAAACATACCCATACCATATCTAGTCCATGTCTAAACATAAACATAAACATAAATAACACACAAAACAGTTTTGGTGGAGTCATTCTTATCTAGCAAAACTACATACAGGTATTAAGTAACAACTTGCATTACTGATTTGATGTCTCCTATTTAAAGAGCTCAAAGCATTACAAGAAACCCTGCATAATAAAATAAAAATACACACACAATATACATACATATAAAAACATGTATTATATACATGTTGTATTTGCTAAACATATTTTTGGACAGTCATGTTGAAGAAAGCTTTTTTTTTTCATAAAATTGATGCTAGTATAATGTATAGTTTTTATTTTTCAAAAATAAAAACTCTGATTCTCATCTAAACTAACCTTTATTCGTTTCTCGGCCTCCAATAATTTGGCATTTGCCGCTTCTTCCTTCTTTTTCTTTTTAGCCTGTGCATGCAAAACAGGTCTCAAAGTCATGCAACAGCACCACTACAACTTGCAAATAATCTCAAACTTGAAATGAAGCTACACGTCTCTCAACGTACGAAACAATATGTAACATATATGTAGACAATTACAGATTTCCCCCCAGTTAACATTATGTTTAACATAATAATTTTGTTTCTAATTTATAGATTAGCATTGGAATACACAAAAATTTCTTAGATTCTTAAGAATATGGCAGCTTTTCTTCTTCAAGCTTTGTTAAAAGTCTGAAATAATTGAGTGTTTATGGTATTTTACCGTAAAATTTAATCACAGAAAAATGATTTTATGTCATATTGTTTTTTTGATTTTAAAACTGTAAAAAATTTAGAAAACATAATGGATTTTAACTGATAGATAAAAATTATTTCAAGAATTAGTAATATTTCAGAATAAACATGTTAATGTTATTTAAAATTTTTAAAACTTGAAAATTTGAGATAAAGAAATTAATCATTGGTATATACCTATTAAATGACGCATATTAAGTCTGATTTTCCCTATCTCTGTATATTGTGGTTAAATTCAAGGTGTTTTTTTTTAACAGAATGAAAACTTGTAATCTTATCTTTCATGAGGCACAGTCTATTAAGATCACTCTATTTACCAAACATAAGCTTCAAAATCTTAAAAGTCATTAACTGTGTAGAAGTTTCATCACTACCTAGCGGTTGTCAGTTTACGAAAATATTTTCAATTTTTAAAAACTAATTTGAAATGGGTAAGAAAGTATGTATTTGTAGAAGGAATACAACTGTAACATAGAAAACCTCAGCTATCTGGAGCCCTCAGGGAATAAACTGTTCTATAAAGCAGCAGTTTTCTGAATGGTGGTGAAGTTGTAATAATTTTAAACATGAAAAGTTTATTTTCACTATTTTATTTGGAAATACTTTCGAGACATACCTGCTTAGACACAGTACACTAAACATAATTTGGCATTTTCTTGATGACTCAGAGCAATTATTTTGAACATCAGTTATTATACTGTACCACTCCAAAGAGTAATGCCTTTGGGCTATTAAGGTTTTGAAAATTGCTTGCTATTCAAATGAAAGATTATAGGGTATTCCCAGGCTTTTCAGTTCCTATGTATGCTAGATGAAGTTTTCCTGTACTTTTCCTTTGCTGTTTTTTACCTATGACTTTTGCTGTTGCCAATAGGTGTCCTCTATCTCTACTCTAATCAGTTTGCAGGGAAGAGGGATATGCTAGAAACCAGAAAAACAATCTGATAAAACTTTGTACATTTAAAATTTACTTTTACTTTTCAAATGTTTACTTCTGTAAACATCTGTTTCTAAATTAAAAGTAAATATCGTCGTCTAAGCCCTAATGATTTTTCTTTTGTTGTTTACTCTTATAAAAGTAAAACATTTTAGTACATGAACTTTATGACAACTCTATTTTTTTTTTTTTTTTTTTTGGAGACGGAGTTTCGCTCTTGTTACCCAGGCTGGAGTGCAATGGCGCGATCTCGGCTCACCGCAACCTCTGCCTCCCGGGTTCAGGCAATTCTCCTGCCTCAGCCTCCTGAGTCGCTGGGATTACAGGCACGCGCCACCATGCCCAGCTAATTTTTTTGTATTTTTAGTAGAGATGGGGTTTCACCATGTTGACCAGGATGGTCTTGATCTCTTGACCTCGTGATCCACCCGCCTCGGCCTCCCACAGTGCTGGGATTACAGGCTTGAGCCACCGTGTCCGGCCTATGACAACTCTATTGACTGCTCACAAGTTTTCCTGTCTCTTGTGTCTCATTTTGTACATCTTTACTGTTAGGATTAGATTACCTTACTAAATAAGGCTCAGATAAAGTTTTACTCTATGCAGAATGTTTAAAGAGAATATCTGACAAACATATTAATTTGTGTGAGAAAACATGCATGCAAAATTTTTATTTTTGCAGACTTTAAAATATATGGCTATATTACTTTAATTATATTAAATTTAAGAATTCTACCTCTAGAATTTGCTGAGCTCGAAGTTCTTTTTCCATTCTGATTTGCTGTATTCTCTTAATTTTTTCCTGTAGGAAAAGTTATGATAACTTCAGATAATAAAATAAACTGAGTAAAAAGTGTTTGAGTGGAATCAAATAATTGAAGTTATAAGCACAAAGTTACCAAAGGTTGAATATAAAAATTTAATTATTTAGTATAAAATCATATATATTTTCATGTCTTAAGTTAATATGATTTGATAAAGTTTCTCATAGTAATTTGTAAAATGTGAATGCTAAATAAACAGCAACTCAGTAAACCAAGTTGATTAAACTCATATAGCCTGAAGAGCTTTATAAATATTTGCAATTACAAATAATACTTAACTTGAAATAAATATAGGACTGAATAGCAGAAAAATCACGTATCAGCAGTCAGAAAACATAAGGCTAGTTCCAGATTACAGTCATTTATTGAATGATCTTAAGTAAATAATAACTATTCTTCTATAAGATAGAGAGGTGTTCGCCCTTTCTCATTTGCCATGATTAAATAAAGTGTTTTAAAAAGTATATAGTGACACAATTGTAACATTATTATTAACAATAATTTCCATTCTAAAATTTATTTTCACATGTGGAACAGCACAATAAAACATTGCTTTTAACTACCACAATTAGCCCATTTCAGAAATAACCTGTAACATTATTTAAAATTAATTAATTATAATTTAACATTCCAGGGAATTATATGCAGGACATAATTGGGGTACACATTGTCTAAATTTAATGAACTGGTTATTGGATATGTTTTCTAACTTAGTGATCATATAAATTTTGATAAAAATTTATATTGATTCTAAAAATTATCTCATATGCTCTAAATACATTCTTAGCAATTTCATGTTCCTTAATCCCTTCAAAAGTCCTAAATTGGCATTGATGAGAATAAATACAAGTTAAAAAAGAAAATTCAAAGTTTCCCATTTGAAAATTTTACTTGTCCTAGAATTTCCAGAGCCAACAGATTTTATACACCTGTATTTCAAAAAGCCTGCTCCCATTTCCAGATGCTAGTTGTACCTACAGAAGCTACACTTTAATATGCATTTTAATTTCTTTTTATATACACTCATTGATTCCCTGTAGGAGCCTACTGCAGGATGATGAAATTTTAGGAATTACTGTTCTGATTTCACAAGACTGATCACATTCTTTGACCTTGGTGATACTATCTTAGTACTGAATATTAATTGTAGGTTGTCAAAAATAAAAACCCCACAGTGGGCTGGGTGTTGTGGCTCACACCTATAATCCTAGCATTTTTGGAGGGCGAGATGGGCGGATCACCTGAGGTCAGGAGTTCAAGAAACGAACAGTGCTAGGTGGTGAAACCCCATCTCTACTAATAATACAAAAAATTAGCTGGGTATGGTGGTGCATGCCTGTAATCCCAGCTACCTCGGAGGCTGAGGCAGGAGAATTGCTGGAACTCGGGAGGTAGAGAATGCAGTGAGCAGAGATCGCACCACTGCACTTCAAACTTGGGCAACAGAGGGAGACTCTGTCTCAAAACAAAGCAAAACAAGCAAAACAAAATGAAACAAAACAACCCCCCCAAAAAACCCCAAAGTGTATCCTTTGTGTAATTTCCAAGTCTTAGAAAAGATTGTATTTAATTCATATTTGAAGTATTTATTAGAATTAGAACTTGAGATCTGAGAAAAGTATACTCTTGATCTAACTTTTCTGCTCGTGTCAATCCTAACTTTATAAAGCGCTATGTTTTCAAGTCAGCAAAAGTCACTTGTTCTCCTATGCAGACAAATAGGTAGAGAATCTTGGGACTTATGAACACAGTTTAAAACTTTACCTTAACTGCTGAAGTGATTTTTATATATATCCATTATGTGTGTGGTAGGGCTATCATAAGCATGTAGATAAACATGGTAAATTAAAATAATATAGGTTAACTTTATAATGTTGAGTACTCAACCACTGAGCCAGTCACTTTATATTTAATATCTTGTTGATCATTAAAAAAAATAGGAGAAGCTTAAATTATCTTCTTTTTACATAAGAGAAAACTGAGGTTCTCAGAAAGTAAATATTTTGCCTAAGTCCAATGCTTAGTAAATACAGAGTTCTGATTAGATCACAATGCCATTGTGCCTCCTGCTTTGCAAGAATGTTTCTGAAATCTTCCAGAAACTGCCTAAAGAACTATCTGGTGATATTTTTAGTCCAGTAGGTAGAAAAAATAACCCAAAGGATGAAAACACATGCTACTATTTTATTCTACATTGAATGCTGAGCTTAAAACAGACCCTATATAACAGATAGTATGAGTATAATTACTCTATACTTTGATTCACTTTGTTGAATCAAATAAACCAGATAGTATTCTGAGATTGGCCTCAGATAAATATCTTGATAAATATTAAGATCAGTTCATTTGCATTAATGTTGCTGGAAACTTTGGAGCTCAATGCTTTTTCAATGAGCAGCAAAGACCATGTGGATTTAGGTTGTAGCTACTGTAAGACTTAAGGATCATAAAGCTGAATTTAAAGTGCTGACAACATCTAATGAGTCTCCAACCATTAGCAAATAGAATAAGCTATAAAACTTTTAACATAGAAGTATAACAGAAACAACAGTATTTCACTTAAAATGAAATATGAACTTATTTTTACATATATACTCTTTAGTAAATATATTTTAACGAATACATTCATTAACCTATTTCAGATCAATCTTACAATTTCTAGCAGTCACAATTAACAAACTAAGGATGGAATTCAAGTTTACAACTGACTACTTTAAATTACGGTGGTAAAAAAGTATACTGTGTAGTTGGGACGTTTTATATTTATCTTTAAAAAGTTGAGCATGTGTTTTGTTGCCAGGCACTACAGTGGGCACTTTACATTCATTATGTCATTTATTCAGATATTGCAGTTAACTTATTTTATGATGGAAGAAACAAAGACTTACGGGTTAAGCCATTCATCTAAGCTAACAAAATTATTAATCAGCAGAGTCCATATTTAACTGTAGGCTGCCTGACTATAAACTCTAAATCAACTCTATATCAACTTCTCTAGTCATATTACTTTAGATAATACTGGAAGAAACCTTAGAGATAATCACATCAAATCCAACCTAAGCCATTTATTTAGCTGGTATTTATACAGTAACATAATTGATTTCATTTCATTCTCAGAAATAACTACTTGCTACCTAACATTTTTAAAAGAATAGTATTTTCTCCCTATTTGCATTCTGCTTTAATGTTACCATGAGTATGAGGAGATGGAAGAGTAGTTTACACATTCTCATCTAAAATAAAGCTGAATACCTTCTCATGTAATTTTCACCTATGAAAATTTAAAAATGACTTCTCTTACCTAAACCTAATTTTGAACACTGTATGGGGAGAAGTAGTGTAGATACAAAACAGAGAACTCTGGATATGCTATAATAATGCGCTTATCATCTTTTTTTGAAGTAGTAACTTTTAAGTAACCCTGAAAGCATTCAGAAGCAATGAAGGCAAATCTTATTTTGTATAACTTAAACTTAATTTTCTACTAATATTTTACATGTTTAAGAACAAGCTTTTATTAAAATTTGAACATTCGAGCAATATACTTCATTGATACACTAATTTAAAAATTCTGAAAATTCTTCAAGATATTAACTTATAGTCAAAGTCTACCAGGATATTAAAGTACTTATTCAAATTTACTGTTTGGTAATTGTTTCTTTAAACACTTTGAAGTAGAAGACTTTATTAAAAAGTAAGGTAAATTTTTAATAGAGGATAGCAACTTTCTAAATAAGACACAAACATTAGTGTGAAATATAGTTATTTAAGAAATAAAAAATAATGTACATTACTAACAAATCCTCAAAGTAAGTCCCATATTTTAAAAGTCAGTTCCAATGTATACACATACCTGCTGTTTCATAATCTTTATCTGTTCTTTTTGCTTTCGCTTCTCCTCAGCAGCCATTATTGCTATGACAAGAAACCAAAGGATAGATATCATCAAAAAGGGAATGAAGAAAAGAAGCCTCTTATGAATTCCCCAGTACTGACTCTTCAAGTTCATGCTATCATTTAAATCACTCACCTTGCTGCTTTTTGGCTTCTTTAGCAACCCGAGCCTGTTCCTGCTTCTGAAGTTTTCTCAAAAGCTTTATTTGTGCTGCTTGCCTGGCTATTTCTGAAAAACACAAAATTTCAAAGAGTATTAACAACTTTTTATAACTGCTAACCTAAAACAATAACTGTGTGAAAATGGTATCATCATAAAGGATATAATATTTGAGAAAATTGCCTAAGGTCAGACAGATACCAAGTAGGAGAGTGGTATGATAGACAATGTCATGTTCATTCCGATGGAAACTGTCAAATTATTTCATCAAATTTGATCCCATATATAGGACTACATAAAAATGATGTTTCTTTTAATCTGTATCAGAGAGGCTCATTTAAGTACATTTTTTTCACATTTCAAGTAAATCTCACTTAGTGGGAAAATAGCTGCTAATACTGTAAGAATTGTAATGTAGCTTCAGTCTTAACATAAAAAAAAGAGAAAGACTCCCAATTGAGGGACGGTGGGGGGTGGGAAGCTGGGGAGAGATAGCAAGGGGAGAAATGCCAGATGTAGGTGATGGGGAGGAAGGCAGCAAATCACACTGCCACGTGTGTTCCTATGCAACAATTTTGCATGTTCTTCACATGTACCCCAAAACCTAAAATGCAATAAAATAAATGGGAAAAAAAAAAGACTCCCAATTAAAACAAATTCAAAGTTCCCTCCCACCCAAACTTCATATTTCAATTAGCTATAAAGGTTAAGTTCCTGAATCCAGTGGTATTTTCATGTATGAAGGAGAGGGACTAAATCTCCCAAATAAAATAAATGCAGAATGTCAATGACTTTTAAAGACAACCTAGTTCTTATAATTTTCAAGGACACATGTATGAAACTAGGGTAGATGAACAAAATTAATGGCCCCAATTCTTCATTCCTCCCTTTTCCATGCCATTTGTAATGGACTTTGTACCAATTCCCATCAAGAGGTGGAATATATTTTCCTGTCCCTTGATTCTGAATTCAACCATGGGATTTTCCATGGTTAAGAGGATGTTAACAGTAGTGATAAAAACAGAGCCTGAAAGTTTAGTTGTATTCTTTCTGCTTTTGCTCTTGTGCTTTGCCCAATACTGGAGATATGACTTGAAGGCTAGGTTACTGGAAGACTGGAACACAGGGAGCCACGTGACCCCACAAATGTGAACAAGTCCAGCCAAGATAAGCAAAGCTGCTTAGCTAATTTCCAGCTGATTTCATCTGCACAAGTGATTAAGACAGTGTTGTATGCTACTAAGGTTTGGTGATTGTTACTGAGTACTACTGTGGCAAAGGGTATAACGGATACAGAAACCATGTAATACCTTTGCTTTCTTCTGCTGGCACACTTGGCCTGAATACCTCTAACTCTAAAAGTGGTGTATAATATTACTCATATAATTATTTTAGAAAGCATCACTTTATATTAGACATTGTTATAAACTTTGTAGCCACTGAACAAATAAACCTAAATTAGATTTATTGACAACTAATATAATTGCTAACACAAGAATCACTTTGAGCTCTAAAAATTTCCACCATTTATTGACTGCAGGTACTGCTGTGTTACGTTTACATCGCCTTGTTTAATGTTCACAGCTACATTATAAGATCAACATTATTGCCCAGCTTACACATAAAATAACTAAGGGTCCTACAGGTTAAACAGCATAGCCAAGAAAAAACCCAGGACTGGCTGGGCACGGTGGTTGACGCCTGTATTCTCAGTATTTTGGGAGGCCGAGGTGGGTGAATCACCTGAGGTAAGGAGTTCGAGAGCAGCCTGGGTAAAACCCCCATCCCTACTAAAAATACAAAAATTAGCCAGGTGTACTGGTGGGCACCTGTAATCCCAGCTACTTGGAAGGCTGAAGCAGAACTGCTTGATCCTGGGAGGTAGACGTTGCAGTGAGCTGAGACTGCACCACTGCACTCCAGCGAGACTCTGTCTCAAGAAAAGCCCCAAAGAAACCCCAGGACTTTCTGATTCCATAGTCTATATGCTACTATTTCTAAAAATTCTTTAAGCAAACTTTGAATGCCTTAAGATTTTAGCTAAGAACTTAACCCTATGTCCTCATAACAGCGGAAGTAAAAAGTTGGTCACTATGGTCAATTTTCTATCACTGAGATTTTTAAAAAGGAGAAGAGATGTAAAAAGGTCTGACTTCATCTAGTAAACTGGAAGTGTTAATGAAAAATAAAATGGAAGATGATGATAAAGTATATCTCCAATGTCCCAACCATTTTCAATATTAGGAGGTTACAGGCATCATCAAAAACTTCTGGGTCACACAGAAAGGATCTTCTGTTCACTAAATACTCTGGGGCATAAAAACTTACAAACTGACTTGCAGGGTCAGCAACATTTGATAATAATATGCAAGAAGAATATTATTCTCATCTATAATAATGCCAGATAAATATTTATTTAAGAATTGAAAGTTTTGAACTATCCTATAGAAGCCTGTCTTGAGATGTAAAGACGTGCTGATAAAAACGTTTCCTAGAAAATGTCATAAGTATAATCTTTTGCTCCAAACTAAACCCATATTCTCTAATGTAAGTTTAACTTTAAATAAGAAAATTCTATAAAATACATAGATCATGTTTGTGTGTGAGTGTATCAGTCAATTTCAAGCCCTACACGAGTACACCATAATTTTTATTTGTTTGAGACAAGGTCCTACTCTGTAACCCAGGTGCAGTGGCGCAATCATAGCTCGCAGTAGCGTCCAACTCCTGGGCTCAAGTGATCCTCTCCCCCGCCCTTAGCCTCCTGAATAGCTAGACTACAGGAGTGCACCACCTTGCCCAGCTAATTTTTTAAGAATTTATTTTTGTAGAGACTGGTCTTGCTTTATTGCCCAGGTTGGTATTAAACTCCTGACTTCAAGCAATCCTCTCACCTCAGCCTCCCAACCTGCTGGGATTATACAGGCATAACCCACTGTGTCTGGCCAGTAATTTAAAACATCTTTGGGGCAAAAAAATTTAAAAGTTCAACTCGTATCTTTTTAACTTCAGTAAGAAATATAGCACTTTAATTAATCATTCAAAATTTACACAGCTTTTGGGAAGCAAAGGCAGGGGGATCATGAGGTCAGGTGTTTGAGACCAGCCTTGCCAGCATAGTGAAACCCCATCTCTACAAAAACACAAAAAAATTAGCTGAGTGTGGTGGTGCACACCTGTAGTCCCAGCTACTCAGGAGGCTGAGGCAGGAGAATCACTTGAACCTGAGAGGCAGAGGTTGCAGTGAGCTGAGGCTACATCATTGCACTCCAGTCTGGGTGACAGAGCAAGACTCTGTCTCAAAAAAAAAAAAAAATTACATAGTTTAAATTTTATATTATGGGCAGCTGGAAAAGAAGATGACATGAAAAAAAGAAAAAGGCTGGGTGCAGTGTCTCACGCCTGTATCCCAACACTTTGGGAGGCCAAGACAGGTTGATCAACCTGAGGTCGGGAGTTCGAGGCCCCCCTGGCCCACATGGGTAAACCCCGTCTCTACTAAAAATACAAAAAATTAGCTGGGTGATGTTGTAGACGCCTGTAATCCCAGCTACTTGGGAGGCTGAGGCAGGAGAACCGTTTGAACCTGGGAGGCAGAGGTTGCAATGAGCTGAGATCACACCTTTGCACTTTTCAGCTTGAGCAACAAGAGTGAAACTCTGTCTCAAAAAAAAGGGAAGAAAAAAAGACAGTATAGAGGAAAGACAATGATTTAGATACCTAGAAAAGTTCACCCAAACTGTAGAAATAAACTGCTTGCAATATATTCTCATTTATTTGGATTTTTTGGTTGGTGAATATATTAGAATTACCTTTTGAAATATTAATTTGAAAAGTATCTTTTGTGAATTAAGAAACTGCCCACTTTAATTTCAAAGATGAAGTTTATTATCACATAGAATAAGGGATATTTTGGATGTAACTCGTTTCTTTGATCCTAAGATGCATTTTTAACAATTTTGACATCTCTAAGGTCAGAAGGTATCTGACAACTGGCTGCACTTTCCCTTCTTAGTGTACACCTTAAAATAGTGGTGCATGGTATAGATTACTTACCAGCATCTCAGTTTCTATCACATATGAAATGAATAGATGCTACTTGATATTTTGGAAAATTTGAGATATTAATAGTATCAATCAACAAGTAGCTTTATATAGAATGAAAATCTTTATCATATTCAAACTTAGTCTCTATACTCTGAGAAATTAGAGCTCTCATTTCACAATGTTTGGATGCACATTCAAAACTTACATTTATCTCACTATTCTGAAACTTTCTTCAAATTAAGTCTGATTTTTCAGTCTAGTTGATCATAGTGGGATATAACAAAAACAACTTCTAGAATTCTCTCAAGATAATCCCCAAAGTTTAACGTAGAAGGCTTTTAGCAATGAAAGGGGTAATAAAATGCTTCACTTTTACTTTCTCTTCTTCCCAAGAAAAAATGCAAACAATATTCCATACACTTGTAAATATTATTTACTTACTGTTAAATAATCTTTACATACATGTTGAGAAAGAGCACATGTAATATACGATAAGATCAAAGGTAACAGAACTTGCAAAATGCAATCCAATATATTATAACAAGGGTAAACTATGTAATTGAATACAAATCAATTTGAAATCTGGAGAGAGAATAAACATTCAGTAAAAGTTGAATAATTCTACTTTGTTACAGCAAAAATATAATTAATTTTGCAAATTTAAATTTGCTATTTTAGGCCGGGTGTGGTGGCTCATGTCTGTAATCCCAGCACTTTGGGAGGCCGAGGCAGGTGGATCATAAGGGTCAGCCTGACCAACATGGTGAAACCCTGACCCTACTAAAAATACAAAAATTAGCTGGGTGTGGTGGCAGGCGCCTGTAATCGCAGCTACTCGGGAGGCTGAGGCAGGAGAATCATTTGAACCTGGGAGGCAGAGGTTACAATGAGCTGAGATTGTGCCATTGCACTCTACCGTAGGTGACAGGGTGAGATTCTGTCTCAAAAAAAAACAAAACAAAACAAAACAAAAAAAAAAACCAATCTAAATTTGCTATTTTAGATTCTAACTCATAATGATACTTAGATACACCAAATACACATAAAGAGCCTATTTTTGGTTATCAGTTATTTTCAAGCTTTCTTATTTCATGCAAACAATGTCCACATTCCCCATCATTAAGCATTATTCAGAATAGTCAATAGCTTACTGACAATAACAATTTTTAAAACCCATCTATGTCTGTAGATTTCTTGACTTTTTATTTTTAACCGTCACCAATAACTCTTTGGGATGAAAGTCTTATAAGAAACCAAATAAAATTAAAAAAAATCTGACTAGCATACTGATATTGTTTCGCTCTGTGTTTGCACCCAAATCCCATCTCAAACTGTAATCCCCATGTGTCAAAGGAGGGACCTGGTGGTAGGGGACTGGATCATGGTGGTAGGGGTTCCCCCATGCTGTTCTCATGATAGTGAGTTCTCACAAGATTTGATAGTTTTATAAGTGGCAGATTCCCCTGCTCTCTTTCTCTCCTGGTGCCTTGTGAAGAAGGTGGCTGCTTCCCCGTCTGCCATGATTATAAGTTTCCTGAGGCCTTCCCAGTCCTGAGAAACTGTGAGCCAATTAAACCTCTTTCTTTTATAAATTACCCAGTTTCAGGTAGTAACTTTATAGCACAGTGAGAATAGACTAATACAAATACTAAGACAAAAAAAATTTGTATGATATTAAGTTATATGCTAGGCAGTTAAGCTATCAATCAAAGAGTGAATTAGAGACAATATTTGCTTGCTATCTAAAAAAACTTGAAAATGATTTGTGTAATATGTTTAGGTATAACATATGTTTAGATATGTGTAATATATATTTAATATAATTGTATGATAGCAAAGATCTGGAAATAGCTTAAACAGTCATCAATAAGAGAACAATTCAAATCCGTTTATTTTAAAAATCAGAAAGGATATATATGTATATATGAGTGGTTACATGTGTTTGTATTTGTGTATATATTTCTGGAAAGAGTAACTATTCCACTGACAAGAATCAGAGTGTCTTTTATTTTATTTATTTCTTTAGAGACAGGGTCTCACTCTGTTGCCAAGGCTAGAGTGCAGTGGCAAGATCACAGCTTACTGTAATCTTGAAATTCCTGGGCTCACAGGATTCTCCCATCTCAGCCTCCACAATAGCTAGGATTATAGGTGTGTGCCACCACACCTGACTGATTTTTAAATTTTATTTGTAGAGATGGGGGTCTTGCTTCATTGCCCAGGCTGGTCTTAAACTCCTGGCCTCAAACAATCCTCCCATCTTGGCCTCCCAAAGCACTGAAATTACATGTGTCTTTAAAGCATTCTGTTCTATGAGTTTTGTCATGAATATTTGTTTTATAATACAAACAAAGCAGTAACAGAGAAGTCGTGGTATTATGATGGTGTTTATAATACATAGAGATAAGTCTTTTATGCATTTCCTTCACGTTTTGCTTATTTATAGGGATAATAACGAGAAGTAAAATTCTGTGAGATTTTTAAGTCAGTTTTCACTATTAATCCTTTATTTTACTTTGTTATATATCTTTGTGTATATGTCTTGCAACTATAAGACATCTACACGTATGTTGATATATTCAGACAGCCTTACGTGGCTTCACATATGTAACTAGCAACTATTTTACTAGTTACTAGCAACTATTTTACTGGTTTCTATTTTACTCATCCTTCTCTTTGCCATACATAGCATGGGAATTTGATATTGGGAATTTATGTATAATGTCAATTTAATAATACAGTTTAGGTTATTATGAGCAGTTTAAGCTTGATAAATGATACCTTCTGCTTATCTTAAAGTAACTTTTTGATTTAAATGTATTAATTTGGTATTCTGAAAAAATATATACTAACTATATCTGGACTATGGGAAAACCCGAACTAAAAGACTGGGGTTACTTACCAGTAATTGGAGTTCTCTGACTGAAAATTTACTCCATAGATCCACATATTTTGGAGTTATTCCCATGTACCACCTCAAGGAATTGGGAGCTGTTAAAATGAGAATTTCCAGAAGGTTGGCACAACCTTAAGGCATGTGCCAAGTGCTGGTTGATTCCCTTTCTGTGCAAGCCTCAAAAGCTTAACACCCACCTTTGTTCTAATTACACAGGACAGTATGTGTTTATGAGTAATGGTTCTTGAAAGATTACCTAATCAAAGAATTCCAGTTACCAGTAGGGACTCCTTATTTCTTCATTTTATTCTAACATAAACATTTACTTTTTAAAAATTGAGAGCAGTATCAATCCTAAGTCAAAAACATTTTAGTATACTTTTTAGTAGGTTTATTAGTGTCAGACACGTTTCCTACCTTGAGCTTGCAGTTTTCTTAGCAACTTTGCATCTGTGTTATCTAGGAATTCAGCACTGCCAACATTTGGAGGTCGACCCTTCCGACGTCTCATCCTGGATTCCTCTCTTGCTCGCTGTCTATCTGGATTTGGTGGTCTTCCTCTACGACCTTCCATTGCCCTGATACGAGGAATGACATCCTCTTCTTTCAAAAGACACCACTGCATTCCCTTTTGATTAACATTTTATAGAAATAATATATTACAAACAAAATCAACACGAGAGACCAATATGTCAGAAAATTCTACTTAAAAATCACATACATTTAAAAATGTATAACATTGGTATAAACTTTAGGAATTTCTTTTGTTTCTTTTTATGAGATGGAGTTTTGCTCTTGTTGCCTAGGCTGGAGTGCAATGGTGCAATCTCGGCTTACTGCAACCTCTGCCTCCTGGGTTCAAGCGATTCTCCTGCCTCAGCCTCCCAAGTGGCTGGGATTACCGGTATGCGCCACCACACCTGGCTAATTTTGTATTTTTAGTAGAGACGGAGTTTCTCCATGTTGGTCAGGCTGGTCTTGAACTCCCAACTTTAGGCGATCTGCCCACCTTGGCCTCCCAAAGTGCTGGGATTACAGATATGAGCTACCACACCCAGCCAGGAATTTTATTTTTAAATTAAACTTAGATGTATAATTGTTTATGGCTTTTGGCATATCTTTAATATTCTTATTTTAATGACTTAAGCTTTATTAAATATATATAGAGATTTGTATTTATATCTATAAACACAGAGATATACATCATAATCACACTTCCTGAACTATAATGACCATTGAGTTAGCAGACATTTAAAAATATTAGTTGTGCAATGATGCCACTATAGATTGATCTTATTGGGTACCAGTTAAACCAAAACACTAAGCTACCTAAATAATAGATGAAAGTTTCTCTTAATAAATATTACAGCTAATAAATTAAGACAGAGAGAGTTAGAATATCAGCATTCCGCAATACCTAATGAATTAGTGGACCAAAGCAATGAACTTGAATGGTTGCCTATCATCAAAAAGAGACACAACCAGACAGCTGTTAGCCTCCTCATGGAGGCTCATACAATCACCTATAAAGTAGTATTGCCCCTCACACATAACACACAAAAATCAAACCTGGATTTGATCAGCCTGGGTGACAGAGTGAGACCCTGTTTCAAAAAAACAAAAACAAAAACAAAGAAACAAAACTCATATACCCCATAAATATATATACCCTCTATGTACTTATAAAAATGAAAAAAATTCAAAAGAAATTACATATTAAAGTACAATAATGGTACTATGGTTATGAGTCCTTATCTTTTAGAAACACAAACAGAAACATTCCTTCAACAAATTTTGGAAGGGAGAAGTAGATGAGGGTACATGTAAAACAGTATTGGTCAAAACGATAATTCCTAAAGCTTATGATGGGTACAAGGTATATATTATCAGTCCAACTACCTCTGTATATATTTGAGATTTCCTATGATAAGCCTCCTAGTGGAGGCACACACCAAACAATACTAGTGTATTATAAAAATAAGCGTGCTTAGCACATAAATACATGTATCGTGTATGTGTCAATCAAAACAAAAACAGTATGTTATATTACCTTCTAGTCCAAAACAATATATTCGGATATACGATACATCTTTTTAAAATAACTGTCTTATTTCTTTTTAAGAGTTAATTCCTTCAGTATGAAGGTTCAGGAAAATTTTAAAACGTATTTTTCTCTAAAAATATCCCCAAAGTAGAAATTTTGGTTGAGTCACTAGAAGAAACCGTGCAACCAAAAATAACCCAAAGTTCTTGAATTTTACTTAATACCATAATTTGCCTAACCTGGGGTAAGAAGTCTATGACTATTGCAGTTAATGGGTACTAAATTGTACATGATTATGGATAATAGCTACATCTCACATTCCAAGTATTGTGTTTTGTTCCAGATACTTTGAATGCACATTAATCTTCACAACATTTCTATCTCATATGGTGGGCTTTTTTGTTTTTACATTACAATTGAGGAGATTTAGGCTGAGTGAGGTTGAATAGACAGCAAAGAAACAGAACTGTCATTCAAACTCACGACTGTCTCACTCTAAAACCTGTGCACTTGACCACTGTAAGTACTTGATGTTATAAAGATGTTCTTTTACTTGATAAATGACGGACCACAACATTTAGCCATGAAAGCACAGCCAAGATTATGTTAAGACTGTCAGAAAAAATTTAATGCATACGTTCATACATATATATTTATGCTAAAAATAACATCTACACTAATTCCTTTCAGTAATTCTTATGTTAAAAATATTTTTAAAAATTAATTCTAAGGAAAACGAAAATTTTTTGCTGAGATTCCAAATGAAGTCAATAGAAACGATAGTTGTACGAAGTGTATTTTTAGGCCAAAAGCCACTGAAAGGGAAGACATCAGAATAGTTTCATGTTAGGTTATGTTCACTACCATGGGAAGCTTTTGATTAGTTTAGGTTTTCATTTTTTTATTATGTTCTTAAGCACCAAGGCAGCATGTATTATATAAATTGAAAAATATAAAAGTGACATTCATGACACTTTGAAGAGTGATTAATAAAAGCCTGTAAACAAATCTGTATTTGGTTTTTAAAGTATCTTATTAATAATAAAAAATTTTTGGCCAATATTTTAAAGTTTTATCAATGTTTCTTATCCAGATACAATTTTTACATAGTTACATTTTTATTCAGCTAGTAAAATACACCTGTGTCAAAAGAGGAACAAAATATGTTGGTGCCTAAAACTTACCAGATAAATATAGTGATCATATCATTCACATTTTTGCCCTTGGCATTTAAAAAGTAAATGCTTCCTAATGAGACTGCATATATTGAATTATTTATAATATTTTCTGACACCTAGATTTTAGAAAATGAGAAAAGAATCATTAGGAAAATCTGACACTTATACTACAGCTTTAATTCACTGAAGAGACAAAGTAATTGTGGGTGACAACAAGTAGTATTTTTCTCAATAAACTTTTCCTCAGGAAAAGCAAATACAGTTTATGTCATTTTATTCACATGCCATTGGCTTGTCAATCAGAAATTATATATCAAAAGAATTTAATTCTTTTTTCTTGATTTCTAAGACTTAAGATAGTAAATACTGAAAATAACTGTTCTTGACTAAGATTTTAAAAATATGGATAAGAAAAGATGATCAACAAGATGGAGATGGCAGAATATTATGTTTTTGTTTTTTTGAGACAGAGTCTCACTCTGTTGCCCAGGCTGGAGTACAGTGCCAAGATCTCGGCTCACCGCAACCTCTGCCTCCTGGGTTCAAGCGATTCTCTTGCCTCAGCCTCCCAAGTAGCTGGGATTACAAGCGCCCACCACTACACTTGGCTAATTTTTGTATTTTTAGTAGAGACGGGGTTTCGACATGTTGGCCAGGCCAGTCTCAAACTCCCGACCTCAGGTGATCCGCCCGCTTCAGCCTCCCAAAGTGCTAGAATTACCAGCAGGAGCCACTGTGCCTGGACAAGATTATGTTAGTTATATTATTCTAATTCTGCTTTCAAAAGTTGCTAATTTGTATTCTTAGTGAATAATACATTCAGATCTATAAATACTACAAAGAGAAAAAAGGAAAAAAGAAAAGGGTTTATGTTTTATTTCAGAAGACTGAATAATTCAGGTAAATAAGTTAATGAAATAAGTGAAAGTACACTGTAAAGTTGTACTATATTATAAAAATGAAGTTTCCACTACTTAAATATTTGTTGAGGCACCTTTACTCTGAGCAAGGCATAACATTATCTAAAGATGAGCTACAGAGAGTCCTTTTCCCTAAAGAACCACATTTTTAGCAAGGACCTTAGGCTCAAGTCTATTCTAAGGCAGGTGACCCTAGGACCACACCCTGGGTAGTAATGTATTAAAAAAAGAGTTTAGATGTTGGGAGAGAAAGTTGTCTAAACTGTCCATATAAAAATTATGATGGCCTTGGATTACAGCACAGGAGTTAGAGCTGGAAAGGGAGACGAATAGTACATTGGTCTTTCAGGAGAGAGAATGGACTGAAATTGAATACTGCCTGGATGTGAAGCAGGAAAGCCTGGATGTAACTCAGAAAGGCAGTTAAGGTTTGGAATAGTTTCTAAACCACATGAAAAAGGGAAATACATGGCAATGAGGTTTTTTTTACTGAATACATAAGGATGGAGAAATATTTGAGAAAACTGGTAAATTTATTTGCTCAATTTTTTTATGAAATAAACAGATTTTTAAAGAAAGAAAACATTTCTTTTTAGTGTGTTCTTAATTCTGTATTCAGAAATTCAAAAAAGATCATGAAATTTATTTTAAATATGACCTTCCTATTTCAACATTTCTGTTATATAGTCTTCATAAATAAATGACTTCAAAGGATAGGTGAACCCTTCATGAGCAACTGGTTTGTCTTCACCTAATCTCAGACAGTAAATTGCCTAATTAACTGGGTTTCCCATGTCTCACTGAAAGCTAGAATAAATATGTGGTTTAGCAGCCACATGTTTAGATCTTAATGGGATGTGTTCTCAAGTCTCATTCCTGATTCAATTTTACTTCCTGGCTTGTCTTCTTCTTTTGTTGCTCCCACTTAAAAAAAATACTTGTAATCTGATTTATTTTTGGTGAAAAGCAGTATATAATTACGTAAAAGCAGTAAACCAGTCCACCAAAAGCCGAATAGCTGAATGATTTATTTGCCAAGTTATGGATGACTTTTTTTTTTTTTTTGAGACGGAGTTTCGCTCTTGTTGCCCAGGCTGGAGTGCAATGGCGCGATCTCAGCTCACCGCAACCTCCGCTTCCTGAGTTCAGGCAATTCTCCTGCCTCAGCCTCCTGAGTAGCTGGGACTACAGACACTCGCCACCATGCCCAGCTAATTTTTTTGTAGTTTTAGTAGAGACGGGGTTTCACCATGTTGACCAGGATGGTCTCGATCTCTTGACCTTGTGATCCACCCGCCTCGGCCTCCCAAAGTGCTGGGATTACAGGCTTGAGCCACTGCGCCCGGCCGGATGACTTTTTTTTTTTAACTTTTAGTATCACCAAGACTATGATGCAGCAATGTCACCATGGATTTATAGTCCTGTGCCACTAGATGTGCAGCTTCCCAAGTTAACATATGAGATGTTTAGTACTGTACTTCTTGAA